CCACCCCATCCCACCCTCCCCGTCCGTGCACAGCTCTGCTGTGGAGGGCTGGGGCCTAGCGCAGGTCCTCCTCCTCGCCCTGGATGGTCTTCTTAACGCGAAGCAGCATGGTCGTGAGCCACTGGTCCAGCCGCGAGATGGAGTCGTACTCCTTTACCTGGGGAGGGGAAAGAAGGGGGCAGTGAGAGCAGGCGGGATAGCAGGGGGCGGGGGGCACTCAGTGCAGGCCATTCATTCCAGGAGAGCATGAGGCAGGAGACAGGGCTGGGGCGACGCTTGCCTTGGTTTTCCTAGCTGTAAAATGGGCGACAGTGACACCCACCTCTGCTATAGTTGGATTGGGGTTGTGGGGAGAGCCACTAGGTAAAAGGGCTGGGTTAAAACAGCTTTCTGCACCAACTCTCAGGCAGATGCACTGGCCAGGGAAGGAGGGGGCCAGCACCCCCGTCTGGGGTGTTGAAGCCAGCAGGACTGCGCCCCAGGTCCCATCCTCACTCACCGCGTCGGTGTAATTGTCGATGCTCTGTTCTTCATGGGCGTCCAGCAGCTTCTGCAGGGAGAGGAGAGCGCCATGAGCTCGGGGTCTGCTCCGAGGTGCCCCCCCCCCCAACCCAGTCCCGAGCCACTCACTTTGACCAGCTTGCACTCCCGAGAGTCCGAGAAGGCCGGGAACATCTCCTCATACTTCTGCAGGGCCAACTGCAAGCAGAGAGGGCGGGTGAGAGCCGAGGGGGGCCAGGCTGCGTTGGCTCTGGGATCTGCAGGGCAACGGGGGCATTTCCCCAGGGCCCAGGACCCCCCTACCCTGGGATGGGTGGGGGAGGAGACTGCTCCCCCCTGGCTCCTTTCCTCTTTGCTTCGGCTACACAGAGGCACCAGGGGCACTATGCAGCAGAGCGAGACTCCCTGCAGAGCCTGGCAGGCAGCTGGCAGGGGACAAACACAGACCCCTACCCCACACAGCTCCAGGTGAGAAGGTGACAAAGATGCCCTTTCTTTGAGGATGGATGGGGAAGCCTCACTGCTTGTCTGAGAGCCCCAGACTGAGTACCCTGTGCCAGCCCGGCCAGAGCAGTTATGCCCACACTAGGGGCTGGGCCCCCACTGGCATCGGCTTTGTGCCCACCCCGCTCCTGGCATGAGGGAGCACAGAGGCAGGTCGACCTTGGCATTGAGCATGTCGATGCAGAAGTGGCAGAGGGCAGCCTTGAAGAAGTAGTCCTTGGCGCTGTATTTCAGCAGGGGGCTGTCCATCGCACTGGTGCCCACCTGAGACGGGAGGAAGGGACAAGGGTTAGAGTCCTACCAGGGAACGACAGCGCAAACATCGCCCCTGCTCCACCCTCTATTCACGGTGCGTTCACAGCTCTAATGCTACAACCAGCTCTGGTCCCTGCACCTCCAAAGGGATAGGGAAGAGCTGAAGAAGGTGCAGAGAAGGGCAGCGAGGGGGATTGGTGCTATGGGAGGAGACCGGTGAGGCCAGACCTGGTCGGATTAGGAGAGAGGTGCTGGAGGGGGGACAGGACAAGGGTTTACATTGTACTAAGGAGGGGTGGGGGGATGGGAAACAGACAGTCCCAGGGGATCGATTCCTGGCCATTTCTCGCTAGACCAGAACAAGGGGTCCCAGCACAAAACGAGCAGGCTGGCAGTGTAACACCGACACCAGGACGGCCGTTTCCCTCCTGCGTGGGGTGAAAGGGGGGAGCTTGTGGGCACTGGACGCTGGGGGAGCAGAGAGTTCAGTCAGATCCACCCAGGGGCTGGGAAGAAAGGGGCATCATCGGGGGCTGCAGAGTGCAGGAGTGCGGGGCACAGCCTTGGGGTTGCAATGTCCTGGACCCTTGATGGCTGCGAGAGGGAGAGGAACAGGTGAAAACCCTGCTCAGACCCTGACACTCCCTTCCAGCGCCGCTCTCTGCTGCCCTAGGACACCAGGAACTGGGCAGGACGGACCTAGGGTCTGACCCCGTCTATAGCAGCTCTTGTGACTGCTGCTCAAGCACCCCCCCGACCCTGCCCTGCAGGGAGACAAGGCCATTGCCACCCATGGGCAGGGCAGCAGGGAGCTCTCGGTAGCTCCAGCCTCACAGACTCTCCCCAGGGCTGTGGGGAAGGGGGAAGCTGGCCCCAGCACGGACCTGCTCATAGATTTCAATGGCTTTCTGATACTGCTCCAGCTGTGCCGCGTACGTGGCCACCTTCAGCAGACACTTGTTAGCAGAGCTGCAGGGAGAGAGGTGGGAAGACACAGGCTCAGGGGCTGGGTATGAGCTGGGAGCACCTAGGGCACAGACAGTGCTGCCTGAAGCACCCCCCACCCACCTGATGGCTGTACGATGTCTTGCTCCCCCTCCCTGACTTGAAGGAAATCCCAAGGACCCTGCTCTAGCCGAGAGACAGCTGGTTCCCAGAGTCTTTCCCGCAGCTCTGCAAGGGCCCAGCTACACACCTGAGTGGGGGAGAAGCAGCCTCCTCCGCTCCCCTGGGAGCGGCAGCCAGAGCGCTGTGAGCAATCACCCGAGCTCCCAGGCTCCTAGGTGGCTACATGGGCACAGGCACAGCCGTGATGCCAATCTCAGAGCATAGTGGGGTGGCGGAAGGGGTGTGCAAATTACTTTCTCTCCAAAGCAACACAGAGGCTGCCCCCATGCAGTCCCAGACCCACCCTCAGCATGACCACAGGCCCGTATGCTTGTAGGGCACAGTTCCCTGCTCACGGACACACACGAAGCTGGTCTTACCTGTTGGATTCCTCCCCCTTGTAATAGTCGGCAGCCTGCTCATAGTGTGCGATGGCCTAGGAGGAAGGTAAAGGCTGTGAGTGCTGGGAACACAGGCAGCACCTAGGGGATGGCATCCAGGACAGCACTGGGCAGAGAATCTCGGCCCGCCTGCCCCTGCAGCTATCTGCCAGGCTGGCGCCCGAACACTATCCCCAGCGCTGCCCCACAGAGACAAGGCCAGGGGAACCCCCCAGCTTTGCAGGGGCAGCAGGGAATGAACCAAGGCAGGACTAGCCAGGTGCTACCAGCCACACGCCTGCAATGGAGGCGCCCACAGGAGCTGCCCGCACTCTTCAAAGGCAGCAGCGAGTCCACCCAGGCACTGGCCAGGACATCTGCAGTGGTCTCCACCACCCCGGCTCACCTTCTCGATGTCCACCAGCTCTGTCTCGTAGATCTCTGCGATGGTTATGTGGTGCTTGGCGGCAATGGTGAACCGGCCCTGGGCACAGATGGAGAATCAATACATCTCCTTGGGGCTCATCTCTTCACTCAGCTGCTGTCTCCTGGGAGCTGCCCCAGGTGCCCCCGAGGTTTCCGGTCTGATTCAACCCCCTCTCTCAGCTGCTGGCGCTGCCTGCCATGGTGCCCATGCTGGCTGGCAGAGGCAGATCCAGAGGCCACTTGGCCCAAAGCTGTCACCCAGAGGCTATGCAACCCCCCCATCAGTCCCTCAAGTGTCCAGGACCCCCACAAATCACAGGAGCTGGGGCAGTGGCAGGCCAAGCCCCTAACAGAACAACACCCCTGGGGTCAGAAGAGCCCCCATCCCACCCTCAGTCAGGGGAAGAGGCAGGAGCAAGGGGTAGCTCAGAGGCAGGCTCACCATGTCCGTGTAGATCTCAATGGCTCTGATCAGGCAGTTAATGGCCTCTGTAAGGAGGAATGGAAAGGCTGAGCATGGGGGGATGGGGGGGCGCCTGCCATCCCCCCACACCAAGCAAGGGATGAAACCAGGTCCCAAAGGACCAGCCACCGAGGTTGCCCTGCCAGGTAGCTCAAAACACGGGCCCCCCACCAGCTCTTAGGGACAGGGAGACCGAGTAGGAAGCAGCAGCTTCTGGAGGAGCTGGTCTCAGCGGCACCCTCCCGACGTGGGCGGTGTTTTGCGGCGCCTGAAATGCCAAGCTTCAAGAGGCAGATTTTTCTGGCTGCTCCCAACTCTCAGACTTGCCAGGGGGAGCAGGCAGCAGCTGCTGCGGAAGCCAGGAAGGTAGTGGCGGTCGGGGGAGGAGAGACCGGGAGCACACAGCCCACTCAGATCTGTGCCTCGATCGGCCCGGGTGGGGGCTGCCTGCAGAGTCCCAGGGAGATTCCCCACCTCAGACTAAACAGACACGCTGGTCCCTCCTGGCCTTGGCATCCGTGAACAGAACCCACCGTGCCGCAAGCCCAGGCATCAGTGCACAAAAGCCAGCAGTGACCACTGGTCGGTCCATCCTTCGTATGGAAAGGGCCTGTCTGCTTCCCTAACGTTTGTGTATCAGCTTCATCACGGCAACGGCCCCTGTTCCACCCCGAGGCCCTTCCTGCCCCGCACCCCGTAGCAATGGGGTTTGAAGTGGTGGGGAGCTGGGGCTGATGGAGCCGAGCAGTGTGGCCTCACCTGGGGACTATCTGAAGCCTTACAGATGATCCACATGCCTTTCCACACCCAGGGCTGACAGCCGTGGGTGCTGGAGAGCAGAGCTGCTGCCCAGCTTGGAGGCTGCCAGGCTGGACCTGCCCAGCAGCTCCGAGACACTGCCACGTTCCTTCCCTTGTGCTCCCTCTCATGGAGCTGGCAAGGTGGTTACCGAACAAAACCAGCTTCCTTACGACCACCCCTCCTTACCCGGGGTGGGTGAGGGGAGACCAGGACAGAGCAGGGAAGATTGGGAAAGAACCCACGGATAAGAGGAGGCAGATGCACTAAGCCACTGGGCCAGCCGCAATCTTCCCACCCCCACCCCGTGCCTCCAGACTGCTGCCGGCAAAGCAAACGTCAGCTGCTCTCCACCGGCCAGCTCATCAGGCCACAAATCCCACAGATTAAAGTAAATCCCCCAGGATTTAGCCTGTTTTCTCCCTGGGCAGCCGCATTATCTCTGCAGGCTTCGCCCCAGCCGTGCTCACTGCCAGGGGAACACCTCCCCCCCCACCAACGCAGCAGCCTTGGTGCTGCACGCACAGCTGAGGGAAGGGACCTCAGCTGCGTGGGGTGGTTCGGAGACAAGGAGAAGGGGCCCAGATCCCACCCTGCCCTCCAGAGTCCTGGCGCCTTCCTCTACAGTAAGGCCTCCCCAAGGATCCTCCAAGTCTCTCCCCTATGCAATTGTGCACGATTAGTCCCCCATGAATCTAACGGGGGGCTTTTCTCCCCTTCCGCCTCAGGTCAGTCCCCTCCAGCCGACACTGCTGCACTCAGTGCTAGCAGCAATTTGCCACCACTGGCCAGAGCACAGAACTACTCATGGCCTTTGGGATCCCAGCGCTCGCATGTGTGCATGCGTGTCTAAACCAGGAGGGTTTCACCATCATCCTTCCTGTTCTGTGTTTCGCCATCTGCGTGCCCATGTAGGACAGAGAACACAGCCCTCGCCGACAAGCTGGGATCAGAGCCGTCAGGCACCACAGCCCAGCCAGCTGATCCACCCCCCACACCCGCCACTGCCCAACACTGACTTTGGCACAGACTGCCAGCTGGCCGCTGACCATCCAGACCTGCTGCAAGCTGCCTGAGAAGGGGCCGGGGAAGCAGGGCAGCCTTACGACATTCAGACAGATTACACAAAGCAACAGGTGACTCACGCATGTCACGTGGTCCGGGACAGGCTTCCTCTGGGCCATGGCCACTGATGCAACAGGGCAGACAGGTTCTACGGGTGTCCCCACAGAGCCATGTGTCGGCGTGTCACCCTACAGGCATACCAGCCTCCGGGGTCACTGCTATCTGGGCCTGGAGGCTGAGCAAGACCTGCAGCACTGGCAGGCAACTGCCTCCCTTGATGACTAAGGGGTCCAGACAGAAGGGGATGTTTCCCCAAGGAAGTGAAGGGAGGCGAGGTGCTTTGGACCTCCAGGACCCAGGAGTCTGGGCTCCTTTCCCCACTCCAGTGGGGACAACAGTATCTCCTGGGCACCCAGAGCCCTGGGAGAGCACATGCAGCAGCATCTTACCTTGGGGGTCAGCCTTCTTGAAGGCGTTGCCAGCGTCCACGAAGTTGGCAGCCGCGTCGTGCTTGCTCTGCAGCTGCAGGTGGAGCTGGGCGGCCTGGCAGAAGGCATTCCCAGCGGCTGGAGGGGGGCAAGTGGGGATGGTGAGCAGCCCCCCTCTTGGGCCTGAGCTCTGGGGACTTGGTAGTGCCACAGCCGTCTCTGACCTGGGCCCAGACAACCCCTCCCCTCCTGCCATGGGGGAATGGACAGGGCAGGACCCAAGGGAGGCAAATCTCTTCCTGTGGAAGAGGCTGGGGGCTCATTCCCACTGACCGTCCCTGAGCCCATCTCCCAGCTCTCATTGACTTCAGCTGGGGGCAAAGCTAAGTCAGGTCCTGGTACTGCCCAGCCCCTACCCTACACCTCCATTCTGGCTGTGGTTTCTGCCCTCGACCCCCCCAGCCTGGCCTGGCAAGGCAGAACCAAGAGCTTTGCTGTCCTCAGAGGATGACACGGGTGTGGGGCGAAGCATCGGCTCCAAACCCAGTGCAAGGCAAGGGGGGGTGGAAAGAGGGCAGCAGGCAGCCGCCCAGACACATACCGCTCCAGTTCTTGGCCATTTTGAACATATTGGCTGCACGGGCATAGATGTCGCATGCTTCTTCTATCCTGGAGGAGCCCCTGTGGAGGGAACCGGGCACCATGTCACACGTTGCACTGGACGGGCTCAAGCTGCTGCCCAGGCCTCGGGCACAACAGCAACTTTGCCATGATGCTAGCCAGAGAAGCCTTGCCAGAGGCACCAATTTCACAGTCCCCCTCTAAGGTCTTCCGTCTTGGAAAACCCACCACTCCACGCATTCAGCCACGAGTGTCACTCCCTCCCCCAGAACAGAGGAGCCTGAGTAAGACCCCTTCATCTGCAGGGTGATGAAGGCAAGCCCCAGGGTCACTCAAAACCCCACCCACAGGCTCTGCAAAGTGCCACGTGCCTGCGTCACTCCCAGCCCCTTCTGATCTGTTCCATCAAGACTTGAGAGGTACGCCAGGCCAAAGCTCCATGGATGCAATCCCATTTAAAACCAAGCAAACTGGGGTCAACCATGTGGGGGGAGCCTGGGCCTCGAGGGGATCACCTCTGCCTGCTCTCTGCGGGGAATCAAGCTGAGCAGGTGCTGGCATGAGGTAGCTAGAAGAGCTGCCCATCAGCTTGGGGGCAGGTGCAAAGCTAGGGCAGAGTTCACTCATTAAAAATAAGCTCATTAAAATAACCTGGGGGTGGTTAGACCTGCTAACCAGTACCTTCACCTACTGACCTTACTGAAACCCCTGGATGCCCAAGAGCGCTGGGGTATGAGTGTTTAACCACTAGGAGATCAAGCATGTCTCACTGCTTTCCCCACCCGGGCTGCAGAAACCTGCAGTCAGAGGGGCAGCAGGGGAGTGAGAGGTGGGAGCAGAGGGGGACAGAAAGACCACTCCTATCCCCTCTCTCATCTGAAAGCCTCAAAGGACTAGAAGGCACCATGGAAGCCCTGTCGGGTGGGTGAGCCTGTTCCCCCCCTTGGCTCCTCTTCGAAGAGGGTGGAAGGCAGGAGGGCAAGTAACCCGAGGTCACAGCACAAGGCAAAGGCTCAGAACCAAGTACCACGGCTCGCACCCCACTCGAGGCACACACGTGAGACAAGGGTCATAGAATAGTCAAACATGCGGGTTGAAGGGACCTCAGGTCACATCTACTCCAAAGCAGGACCAGCGCCAACTCCATCATCCCAGTCAAGGCTCTGTCTACCTGGGTCTTCAAAACCTCCAAGGATGGAGACTGCACCACCTCTCTGGTGCTTCACCACCCTCCCAGTGAGAAAGATTTTCCTAATATTCAACCTCAACTTCCCTTGCTGCAGCTTGAGCCCATTGCTCCTTGTCCTGTCACCCCCCCCCACTGAGGACAGTCCAGCTCCATCCTCTTTGCAGCCCCCCTGCAAGGAGTTGAAGGCTGCTATCAAATCCCCCCTCAACCTTCTCTTCTGCAGACTAATTACGCCCAGTTCCTTCAGCCTCTCTTCACCAGTCCTGTCCCACAGCCCCCAAACCAGTAGAAGTAGAAGGATTGTGGGTTAGGTTACATGGGGGGCAAGGAGAAAGGGATTTGGTGGTAGGGGTCTGCTACAGACCCCCACACCAAGGGGAAGAACTAGATTCGGGGCTCCTGAGGCAGCTCTC